CTATTTTATGAACCACTGTTGACCACTGTGAACCATCGCTAACCCAACCAACTTTATAATACCGGTGGTTTTTGAGGTTACTGAAGAAGTGATAATGAAAAATTATTCGTTCTCTTCTCAGACCACAGGACACAGGACAGATTAGGATTTTAAGATTCAGAAATCTAAAATTCTGATTTTCCATTTTCTGACAGTTTTTCACCAAACTTAACATTTAGAAAGTAAACAATAAACTACAAGGCATTAAGTATGGACAACAAAGTGAACGACTTTGTCAACAAAATGGGAGCGGCTAAAGGTCTGGGTTTGGGCATGAAACTTGTCGCCGGTGTTGGACTCGTTGGCTACGGTTTGGCCAATTCCATGTTCACAGGTAACGATAATATTAAGTTTTTCATTAACTGGGTTACCAGATATGATTCTTATTAAAAGATTAAATTACATTTATGCACAACTTCAATTGTTTGTAATAGTTTATAAGTGTGATGCCAGTATTTGTCGTTCAGCAATTATAACCATAGTTCTTGATTTCTGGCTATATAATACTATAAGTTCATACTTATTATCTTTACTAGATGCACCATAATATATTATACTCATTAATCTTATAATAAAAAATATTATTACTTTATTATAATATATAACAATGTTTACATTTATGTACTTATTAGGTATTATATATTCTTTTTTCTCAACCTAAAGCTATTTTTTTTTAGCATAAATATGTTCTGTGGGGAATAAGACTTTATTTCCAACGTATTTTTGTAACGCTTATAACATATATTATTGTTAGTATGGACAACATATTGAATTACACCATATTGAATCACATAACATGATTCATACATTTTCCTTGCAGAGACAAAATTTCAAATAGCTTGTTATCATACCATCTTGTTGTTCTTTATCATACAAACTTATACTTGAGTGCCACCACTTTTCTATATTTTGGTTAAACGTTATTTCCTTTTATAAAGCACTGATATTGTTAAATAATTAAATAATATTTTTTTTTTAATACAGTGGTAAAATAACACATTTAGTCTGACAATCTCTTGTCATGGGCTCCCTTAAATATGCTCTCGTCCTTAAGAGTGGGTGGTCGTAGTAGTGGCGAATATCCGGCAAGAGGCAGAAATCAGGCTCGTAGCATAATTTGGTATTCTGGTCGATTTGCATACTTTCTTAAGAATATTGAGACTTTTCCAAGAAGAGCCGTGTGACAAAAATTGTATAGCTTAATATTATTTAATACTGTGTTCACTACTCTCTTTGCAATGACCTCAGCATGCTATTTTATATTAATTGCCTAATTTATATCTCCACACTATTAGAAATGTGTGCTGTTATACATATTTAATAGGTCAAGTAACATAGGTATTATATGCATTTTTTAAAACTATTCAACCACTCATAAATAGGGATGGCACAATGTCAATTGACCAGTCAATTGACCGGTCAGAATGTAGTCAATTGACCACAAAGATTTTGACCGGTCAAAATCCAGTCAAAATAAAAAAAAAACTTCCATGGTTATACTAAACATCGTTTTTAGACAAATCTGCTGTCCAATATTGTAATTTTGTACTAATAAACGTACATAACGTTACGCTGATATTTCTGTAATTAGTTATCAAAATTATCGTCCACGGTTCAAAAACCGTCGTGTCGCTGCTCATATTTTTAGTAAGTATCGCGAACAGTATGGGATTACTTCAACTCTATCAACATCTGTAGCTACACGTTGGGCTTCTAGTATTAAATCAATTCAGCAGTTACAGATAAACAAAAAAGCTCTTAAATCAAGTGTTGTTGATGAAGAAATTGCCTCTTCTATACCATCAAATCAACAAAATTTGTTTAAGCAAATAGTAAAATGGGTTCTGGATGAAGAAGTATTTTGGTTAAAAAATCAACATTTTATAAATTTGTTTTCACCAGTCTCCAATTCAATTACCAAAATGGAGTCTGATTCTTGTGAACTATCAGAAGTTTATAATGAGTGTATGAAAGTAAAAAAACATGTTGAGGAAAATAATTCATCTTCTTTAAGTCTAAGTCAAAATGAAAAATCCATAGTCGAATTTATTGAGCACAGTATAAATAAGGTAATTACACCTACACATCATGCATGCTATTTACTTGATCCAAGACACCAAGGAGAGAATTTAAAATCTGAAGAAGAAGACAATGCTATTGATTTAATTAAGTTGATCTGGAAACATTTAAATAATGTAGACATGGAGCTTAATAGTGAACAAGAAAGTAGTATTATATCAGACATTATTAATTTCAAAGCTAGAAGTGGTCCTTTTCAAAGTCGTTCATCATGGACAGCAATTAACTCTATCAAAAAATAACTCTATTACAGCAGCAAATTGGTGGAAAGGTAATTTTAAAAACAAAAGTGTTCTAGCTGATGTTGCTGAAGTACTGCTAACATTACCAAGCTCTACAGCGTGTGCTGAACGTAATTGGTCTGTTTGGGAATTCCTATTGAAAGTTGAAATTTATGTTTATTTATTCAAAGATGTCAATATTTTATTTTTTGTTTATTAACTTACTACTATATTTATTATTTATGTGATTTTTAAAATATGGTTGTTATTTTAATTTGTTTATTGTTACTAATTACTATTGAAAAATGTAACTTATTTTTCTTCAACTAAGTTGTTATTTTATTTTAAGTTTATAATGCATTATTAATAAAAACTAAAAAGTAAAGACTGATATTTATTATTTCATTTATTTGTTAACAACATTGTATGTATTCATTATTAAATAGGTGTAAAAATGTTTTTTGTTACTATTTGATGGTCTTAACTTTTAATAAACTTTTTCCATTTAAATACAACATTTGAATTAAGGACAGGAAAAAAAAAGATTTTGACCGATTTTGACAATTTTGACGAGTCAAAATCTGGTCAATTGTCATTAAAAGATTTTGACCGGTCAAAAACCCATCCCTACTCATAAATAATAATAACAATATTATGATCTAAAATGAATAAATATTTATAAATATATAATACTCTCAATTGTACAAATTCAAGTTGCACTCTATATACAAAGTGTACGTTTTATAGTACCTCTATTACCATGATAATATGTAAAAAATGTAGTAATTCACTTCTTATAGGTACATAGTATTTTTCACTTATTCTAACTTATGGGTTCAAAAAAAAAATATTTGATATTATATTTTCCAGATGTATAATATTATAATATTACTATTTACTATAGAATTTATATTATAATTAATTTAATTAACTAAACTTAATATAGGTACTTAATTCATTTTTATACATTAAGTTGGTTTTGTTTCTTGTGGGTTATTTCTTTTGATCTGCTTAACATATGAACATAATATTATCTATTTAACCTATTTGTTATAGATATAAAAATTGATTTTTACCTATGGCTATATTATTTTTATAGTTGAGGGTGGTCATCGTGCCATTATGTTCAATCGTATTGGAGGTATACAAAGAGAAGTCTACCCCGAAGGATTACATTTTCGTCTCCCATGGTTCCAATACCCAGTCATCTTTGACATTAGGTCAAGACCAAGAAAAATCTCTTCACCTACAGGTTCCAAGGACTTACAAATGGTAACATTGTAATTATAATATACTAGTGATATTGTTTTTATATTAATTATGGGTTTCAATTTTTTAGGTGAACATTTCACTTCGTGTATTATCCCGACCAGACGCCATCAAGTTACCAGATATGTACCAACATTTAGGTATTGATTATGATGAAAAAGTTCTTCCTTCAATTTGTAATGAAGTTTTAAAATCAGTGGTTGCCAAGTACAATGCATCACAACTTATTACACAAAGACAACAGGTATTAAATAGCTACAAATTCTATTTTTATTAGGTGTATTATGTTAATTTTACTTAAGACTAAATATTCTGTCTAGCAAAAAAACACACTAACCTAACCAAAATTAGTCCAATCCATGAAACATCCAGCTGTAACATTCTCACTGATACCAGCTGCTAGTTAGTTATAATGAGTAGCTGGGTTGCTTTAGAGGGGGAATGGTTCTAGATATATATTTTATTTTTATATTTAAAAATTCTATATGATTATTTTTTTAGTTATAATATTGTTTCCAAATTTAATCAAATATAGTTTATTTATTTAATAATTTATAATGTATAATATTATGATACCTGCAAATGGCTACAATAATATACATTTTTTATATGATCACTTTAAAAAAAATTCCTTATAAAAATTCCCTATCCTCTATAAAAATTTAAGGTTGTATCAAATGTTGTGACATGTAAACAATTTGAATAATAAATATATTTATTACTCAAGTCTTAGACTTGTAATCAAAGCCATTTGTTACTTATAACATCCTACCTACCAGATTTCTATATAAACACTACAGAAAATGTACCATATATTATTTTAGAATTTTTCAATTATATCCCTATAATTATTAATTTACAAGTCAACACAATATTTTCTTGTCAGACTCTTATAAGATACATTTTAGAAAAATAGTATTATATTATGTATATTTATTATTTACTATCTGATTAAATTAATAACTAAGTTACAAATAATTTTATTAAATGTTTAAATTAGATTTCTTTGTCTATAAAACCCCAAATAAAACTACATATGTAGATATTATTGATATTTTAAATTATTGAATTATGAATTGTTTTTACATGGAATACATTTTTTATTTTAGTTCATAATATTTGAGCATTACAAGATTTTTAACTAATACTTTTTTTTATAGGTGTCACTGCTCATTAGGAAACAACTTGTTGATCGGGCTCGTGATTTCAATATAATTTTAGATGATGTTTCTATTACTGAACTGAGTTTTGGTAAAGAGTATACTGCAGCTGTTGAGGCAAAACAAGTAGCACATCAAGAAGCTCAGCGTGCCGTGTTCTTTGTTGAAAGAGCCAAGCAAGAGCGTCAACAAAAGATTTTACAAGCCGAGGGAGAAGCAGAAGCAGCAAAAATGATATCCTTTTGCTATTATACATTTTTTATACCATAATGTTTATAATGTGGTTTCGCCTTAACTGAAATGTCTACTTAGGAGAAGCTGTTGGCAGAAATCCTGGTTACTTGAAACTTCGTAAGATCAGAGCAGCACAAAATATTTCCAGAACGGTATGATGAGACTACTAATTCTAAGAACATGTTTAATTAATAATCTTAACTTGTTATTTAGATTGCCACTTCACAAAACAAAGTTTTCCTCAGTGGAAATGGTCTTATGTTGAATATAAGCGATCCCTCATTTGATGAACAAAGCGACAAATTGAAAAGTAAGAAGTAGACTGGGTGCATTTTTATCTCCTGTAGTACGAAATTATTATGTTAACTGCTTTAATATATTCCATACACAATTTTGTATAGTTTCATCTATAATTCAGATATATGGTTTTGTTTAATTAATTTTTTTTATGTGTACCATGTACTTCGTTAGAAGTGTATAAATTTAAAACTTAAATAAAAATAGTATATTGAAGACATTTGTTGGGTGACGTTTTTTTACTTTTTTGTGATTATTCTAGGCGGACCATATAGCATAGTATCAAATTATGAGACAAAAATTAGAGTTCAATCCAATGAAACTGTTGGCAGTATTGCAAACAAAACTGTAACCAACTTCTTAAATTAAACCAAATAAATTATAAAAAAGATTTTATTAGCTCTCTTTTCTATTTTGTACTTTTAAATTTTAATATATCTCATACAAAGACAAATAAAGAATTCAATATTATATTTTAATTATATGGTAATATATTATTTAGTTTGGACTTAATGTTATAGATGTAGTATACCTAATTAGTCTTAACCATTCAAAATATTATATTAAAATTACCCGTAACTATTGAAATTGAAATTTGATCATGAATATTTTTATAGTAATACAGTCTTATTTTAATTTAACTCATAAAAGTCTTTATTATTTTAAGATGAAGCTTAACAGTTCAACATTCTTAAATTTTGTTACATTCACACATGTTTCATTCACACTGATACACTTGACTTTATACAAACTATGTTTAAATTCAAATGAAAATTTCAAATAGTGTTTGATACAATGTGAAATAAATCAATACAAACTTTTAAAATAGTATTATCACAAGGTTTATTCTATTAGGTATAAAAAAAAAATATATATATATAGCTCAAATGTGAAATGATAATATTATTACAGGCGAAAAATATACAAATTAATAATTATTATTATCCATCACAGTAAATAGTTTAATAATAGGTACAAACGTATATAACAATAATCCTAAAAAAAAAATAATTGATGAGCTAAATATATGAAAGGACACGCGTTAAGTCTGCTGGTATATGTATAATACAAAAATGTGCTTAAATAATAGGTAATAATAGTAATAATAAAAATAAAAATAAAAAAAATGGTAAATTAAGTAGGAACCAATAAAAATCAACAATAAGTAGGTATATTTAGGTACAGCGTTTAATATTCTTAATTTACATTGGATGAGAATTTTGGTCCCCCAAATAAAATGGTAATTTGACTGTCCGTCCAAAAATGAGTTTTTGAATGTAAGTGTACAAGTATATTATACATTTATACATATTATTACAATTGTGTTATAAAATATAAGTTTATTATTGTTCAAAAGCGAACGAGCGATAAACCGCAACGTTCCAGGTCCAATCATATTATTTATAACGCAGGAAGCTACGATTAAGACCAATAGAACATCGACGTAATCGTAGACGACATCGGCAGCAAGCAGAGAGAGAGAGAGTGAGAGAGAATGAGTGGAACTCGCTAAATGCGAATAGGTACCTACTAAGTTGTCGTTCACACACAAGGTAATATACTTAATATATAATATATATAGATAGGTACGCGCAACAATAACTGGCAACTGCGCTTTGGCGATTTCCTTCTTTCGGAAAATTGTTGTCGCCCTGTTCAGTGTACACACTATCGGAGACGATCGCGACGGGTAGATGCAATTATAGAAAAGTTTCAGCCGTCGTGTGCGCAGTCTCTAGTTTGGCAACGAATGAGAACGTTCGGAATCGTTGTTGTTGTTGTTGTTGTTGTTCGACCGCCAACCATTGGTGGTCGACCACGGCAATCATACGGACGTGGCGGTGGACTTGTACGGCGAATTTGTGACGGACGCCGTTCCAGAACTGGCGGCCACCATCGCGACGCTTCCACTCATGACGGCGGCGGCATTTGTGGTCCCAGCGTTGGCGGCCGTCGTCAGCTTGCCGTCCATGTTGAAGCAGTACAGGAGAGCGGCTCCCACCGAGCTCCGGCGCGTCGGCATTGGCGTCGACATTGTCCACCGGTTGATCCGGGGATCATACCGCTCCGTCGAGTGCAGGCTCGAGTTGCTGTCGTTGCCGCCGAGCACTAGCAGCCCGCCGTCCAGTTCAACCATGTCATGGGTAGCCCTGCAATATACGACAACCACGCCGATGAATATACCTGTTGTTATTTGTTGCTATGCCGACACTTTATATAGATGGGTATATCACTATATCAAATGGTACAATTTACGGCAGTGGCGCACCCAAGGGGGGGGGGGGGGCTTTGGGGCTTAAGCCCCCCCCCCCCAAAAAAAAAATATTTTTTCATTAAATTACACATTATTATAGAAAATATAGTATAACAATGATAAATGATAATGTTTTATTTTAAAATTTTGTTATTATGTTAGATACACATATAATATATACATAATAGTTCAATACTACGCGATAAGGTTTGTGAAAATCAATATACCCTACGGTGGCTATCGTCGATTTTTATTTCGTTGAAAATTATTTTTAGATTTATAGATACAATAACGATTACGTACGGTCGACTTTGATTGTTAACTACGATAACAATGATAATTATGACTTTCGACTGTCTGTGGCATGAAAATCTCGTTTAGATAATTTAGTCTGATCGATTTTTTACAAAATTGGTTATTTAAAAATTAGTTTTAATTGTTTACTTGTGTGTAAGGGAAAAAGAAAAATTATTAAGCCCCCCCAAGCAAAAATTCTGGGTGCGCGCCTGATTTACGGTGTATTATAGGTACACATTGTAATTATTCCATAGTTCCTCAAATGTGAGTGATTCAGCACCCTGCTTAGACACAAGTCAAATAAGTGCACTAAAAAAAAATGCATGGAAGTCAATTCTTCCCGGAACACAGCATCGGGCAGTAAAATTCTATGTTTTATGGCTAGTCATTTGTATGACATCCCAATAACAGGTTCAACCGATTTGAAATTTAAAACGGACGGTATAGGTATCTATTATCTACCTATATAGCATTCTATATCGGCAAGGTTATTTTTCAAAATAATTGTCTGTCTCAGCACTGGGAATTTCTGTTCCGTTGTTACTCTTACTCGACCGGTGCAATGGTAAAAATATTACTATTAAAATAATTTTCTAACAATTTTTTTTTACAAAAACTACACTGGTTATCTTGTAATATAAGTACTGTATGATTTTTCTGGTATTTGACATTTTTAAGTGGAATTGCGTCTAGAACTTTTTTTTTATTTACCTCTTCATGCATGTTCGGCCATTTATGACACAAATAAGCTTTTCGTAGTTTCTAGCTTTGAAAATGAAGTTACAACGTTACTGCATAGATGGTCAGATTTGGCACAAAAAAGCGATCAATTTCAATGTAAGGTACGTCTATCTAGCGGTAAAATTACGAACTAATGGTGAAAAATAAACAATTGAAAACTTTATTGCTGTGCGGAATGATAACCACTCATTTAATGTTATCATTACAAAAGTTTTATGCTACCGATTTAAGAAAAAAAAATACTACCTTGTAGCACAGAACAATATAGAATAGACACTCGATCAGCTGTGAGGGTTTACGTATCCCTACGGTATGATGTATTGGACTATAAAAGTTGTACCGTATCCGTAATCTGATAGAACGTTAGCAACGTGTATCCCTCTTTGTTACGGAATTTTTATAAACGATTTTATATGAATTTTCATATTTTAAGTATATCAATATTAAATTTTGGTAAAATGAATAAGGATTTTGTTTTAATATAAATTAAAAACTATAATGTAATTTTACATTGGTTTATTGTTAATGAAATAATATATTGTATTATTATTCTGTGGACTGATAATATTGATATGATTTATTTAAATGATAACATATTCCACGCCCCTTAGAGACTGTGCTCAAGGCCACAGTCACCCGATTTTGCCAATACACAGAGTGTCTATACCCTGCTTGTAGTTAATTTTATCAGGAGTCTTATAAAAGTACCTAACTATAGATTTCTAAGTATAATACTTATTTGAAATATATCATAAACTTATTGTGTGCCAAATATGGCACAACATGCATACGATTAATATCACACATTTTCTTTAATCTTTTACATAAAAAATGAAAACAAAATTAATTAATTAATTTGAAAGTTCGTAAGTGTCACTTGGACCATTGTATGATAGTATCAATAACGGTGAAAACAAATTTTGAGACTTAGGGTGCATATTCTCCAAATAACATGAATATAATATTGTAGTCTTTCATGCATAAAGGCCATATTTGGCACAAACTAAACTATAAACAAATTATTGGAGAAGTTAAAGTTGAATATTTTTTTAAACATTTTTCCCATTGTCTTGATGTATTTTTACATAAGTACATTTTTTTTCGGAAAAAAATAAAACTTCATGCATGAAGGGAATTTATAAGAAAATGATCAGCATATAAATTAAATTTTTATCACTGACCACTGTTTTGTTTGGATTTTATAAACCTAGGTAGGTTTATAAAGTATTAAAATAATATTATATTATATTATAATCTATACACACTAAATTTCTTTTAAAAAATTTTCAATATAATATACTTTAATTTAGTTACCGACGGTTATCTATCGCTCAGGGCCTAAAATACAGGGGACAGACTTATTTATTTAACTGTTACTTTTGGGCTTTGAGAGATTTCTATAGCAAAAAAAAACCTGTAGGGGTTGTAACTCCCGTAATTGCCCCCCCCCCATCTTTGTATACCACTTACGACTTACCCTGTGAGGTAACTTATGATTATTATTTTAAATCACTATAAATGCAAATGCAATAAAAGCCTATGTGAAGCAGAAGTTCGTCCGTTAACCGTTTCCCAATCAGGTAAGAATTGCCTATATTGAACCGTCATTTTTGTAATTTATTGTATTTAAATTATAGGTACCTACTATAAATTATAATAACGAGTGTTTACTTAGATAAATTAGTAACATTTAAGTTAAATCCCTGAGAGGAAATTGTGTTTTGCGACTATCTGTCGTTGTTAAGAAGTAAAATTATACCAATTTCCAAGACTTCATTTAAAAGACCTATAGAGACTGATGAATTGAGGAAATACCGTCTTGGATATTGAGTTACCTGCGACACTGCATGGTGGCTATAGGCTCCCAAGCATTCCGCCTGACGTTCAATCTTTCGCCACTTGACATGCACATGGTACCGTCGTTGCCCCCCACACAATAAAGCATATCGTCCAAGGTGGCTACGGCACAGCTGCTACGCCTGCTGCTCATGGCTGGCACAGTCATCCACTTGCTCATTCTCGGATCGTACCTTTCAACGGTTGACTGGTAGTTGGTCGAGTCAAAGCCTCCCAAAGCGTACAGACAGTTGTCTAGATGTTAAACACAAAAGGTATAGGTATATATTAGACGAATAGATATTCCGATTAACCTAATGAAAGAAAAAAGTTGATATGGGAATCTTCGAGACGTTTGACAAAACTATTAACCAAGTGCCCAATAATGTCATACCTAGTGAATTACAGCAGTTATAATCCTTAAAGGTATTATATCAAGTACCTATAACCTATTTTATTATATTATGTTTATTGTATATTATTATATTATGTATCTACCAATTTACCTATTAGATTGTTCTATGCTATTAGGTATTTAGATTTTAGGTAGGTACCCACTTATCATATTATGTATCGTAGGTAGGTACCTAGAGATATTAAGATTATATATCATATGTTGGAGAAAGATACAATTTGCAGTCATGCGTCTAAATGTCGCTGCAGGGAAACTGTCAGACGGTAGTGACGCTAGACGCGGAGTCCAGACGCTACAGGGAAATCGTAGCTTAACACCTACCATGTTTATATATTTACATAAAGTATACGAGATGAATGGTTATAACTTTATAAACATTAATAAATAATAATATATAATTTATTCAGTATACCTCTCGGCTATTATTTACAGACTAATGGCTATAAAATTAAACACTAAAAATCCGATGATTTTGTAATGGTTTCCTAGTTTATTGTTTATGTATACCTACCTATTGTTTAATATGTTAATATTTATTACATTAACTGGTGATATAAATTAAATTAGTTAGTAATTAGTATGGCTTGTTGCTTGTCATGCCATAAGACAAGTGATAGTAGACCATAGAATTGTATACTAGTATCTACTACATAATATAAGGTTTATCTTGCAGTCCATAGACCACAGTGAGTTTCACTGGATAGCTGTTAGACGCTTCTATAAAGTTAAGGCAAAATTACGAGAGTGCACGAACTGTGGCATACTCGCATATATATTATGCAGGGCTTGCAAATGTTATAATAATGAACAACGTTATGATTATAATTTATAAAGTTATATTTGACAAATAACGATTGGAATTTGTAAACGTAATTATTATAACGGAAAGCAATAATCAAAAATAATTAAATGCCGCAAAACACAGCATAACGAATAACAAAATATATAATATATCATTAAACAAAAAATTTTGCAAAACTTAATTTATAAAATATCATTTAACGAAAAATATCGCAAAATAAAATTATTTGAAAATTTAAAATCCATTTATTTAAAAGTAAGGTATATTGGTTTAGTAGAAATATATTTTATTTTATGCTATTTATTTTTGTCTTAGAAAAAAATCTAAGAATTGATTATATTATATTCTGTACCTATCCGAGACATTACCTACCCGCATTTTTTTGGATTTATTGATAACTTTTAAATTGAATTGCCAATAATAATAATAATAATTATTATTAATGATGATTAATGATGCCCCAACAGTGGTGGATCCAGGGCTTAATTTTGGGAGGGGCATGGGGCAAAATTGCAAAAAGTTCCAAAATTGGCTAAACACAGTGTACAACAAAGAAAAACCACGGTGATTGGGGGGGGGGGGCAAATGTCCCCTTTGCCCTCCCCCTGGATCCACCACTGTGCCCCGATAATTGCTCTGTAGAAGTAGGTATAGAGTATAGACTTATTTTGTATTCACTCTGTACTTTGTCTACTCTGTAGTCTGTAGCAGGCCCTATTTTTATGTGCACCACGACACACAATGTGCACTACGAATATACAAGTGTGCACTACGATTTGAACGTGTGTGCACTACGGTCTACAAAACAAAAATTGCCAAGTCAGGGATCGGCATGTAAACTTTCTTGATTTTGAATTTTTAGAAATTTTTTAACTGATTTAATCACACCCAAGCGGTCAAACAATATGAATCCAGAAAAATGTCGGCGTGAACAGCCCTACAAAAAATCATTTTCATTTTCATTTAGTGAGATAGATCTCCGAAACCGGACAGCGGATTTCGTTGATTTTGGTCTTGTTAGATTCACATTGGTTAGGAGAAGTGCAGTGAAGATTTGCAGAACTTTATCTTTAATAGTTAATTCACTACAGAACATTAAAATAAATTAAAACAAATTTTATTGGGCGTTTTTTGATGTTTTTCATCTTTACAGCTTTGTAATGAATTAACGATTTTAGATAAAGTTCTGAAAATCTTCACTGCAATTCTCCTAGCAAATGTGAATTTAACAAGACCCCAAATAACAAAATCCGTTCTCCAGTTTCGGAGATCTACATCTCTAAATGAAAATCTAGAGAAAATAACTCTTTTTTTTTTATCTGTGAAAAATTAAATAATTAAAAAAAAAAAATTAATTCCACATTTAGTGTCTACCTGATAATCCCTTTTTAATGAGCTATCAACCAAATTTCTAGCTAGGTATCATAGTTTAGGATAAAAGTTAAAAAATAGAAATTTTGGGACTGTTCACGCGAATGTTTTTATCGATTCAAATTGGGTATACCGCTTGGGTGTGATATAAAATATCTCTTATTAATATTTTATATTAAAGCTAGCTAAATTACCCACCTATTCATCATTACTGAGTTACATTTTTATTATTTTCCTATTTAACACAAATTCTTGAAGTTTTCAAAGTTCAGACTTTTTTCATTTCAATGACTATACTTACTTGATGAAAAATCAAGAAAGTAATATGCATTGTTATGATTTTAATTATTAAAAAGTTAAGGTTTTTATTATTATATTATGCTATTTAATTTTTATGATTTTTATTAAAAGATAAGTATTTTGTTGTTTTATTGAATTGCATTGTTAAATTATTGTATACATATGGTATATAATATATATATATTATATATGTAATATGTATTATGTAATACATTCCTTTTGCTAAGATGGTAGCGAGAATAAAATGAAATGTGCAGTCCGAAATTTTACAAATAATAGGGCCTGGTCTGTAGGTACTACTGCGGTCCTCTTGTGAGTGTTTAAGTATATATATTAAGTATATACTATTGTTAAAACATCCGTTTTATTTATATTAGCTCCATATTAAAACAAATAACGCAATTATGGGTAGAACAATTTTTAACCCAGTACTGAAAATGCAAAGGTGGGCATTAACTTGTTAAAAAGTTAAATTTTTTTTAACTTAACTAGTTAATTATTTTTGTTTTTAGCTTATTGACTTATTCAGATAAAATGTCCAAGGTGATTAAAAATGTTTCTTAATGTCTTTAACCTATTTATCTTACCGACGACGGATACGCGGCAATATCGTCGACGGGTGGTCATACTAGGACATGACGACCAAACGCCGGTCAGTGGGTCGTATCTTTCTACACTGCTCAGGCAGGACGCACCATCAAAACCACCGCACACGTACAGCAATCCGTGGTTGGCGCTAATGCCTAGACAGCTCCTCTTCGTACCTAGTGATGTGACCGCCGACCACCTGTTGCAATTTGGGTCGTAGCACTCGGCCGAAGATAGGTCCACTATTCCATCGTATCTAAATATTATATATACATAATATTATGGTGAACAATATAATATCAAAGGGTGAAAAATCGTTATACAAGAGGTGTCGTATGATATTGCCGTATTGTACAATGTACATAGTACATATTATATATTTATATAGTAGGTATATACTATACACGTTTTATGATTTTGAACTCAATCGGGGTTACTCGGAACTCAGAAGGTAGGAAGTAATAAAAATCGATTTCCCGTGAAAAACCAGGCTGCAGAAACGGTTAAGTCAAATGTGCATAGGTGTAATAAAAACTATTGTCCAGTATCCTTTATATAATGTATAATAAGTATTATGGAGGGAAAATCTCAGTTAACAAAAGATTAAATATAATATAATTTTAATCGTATAATTGTTTTAATAATATAATTTAGATTTTATAATAGATAGATTTTTTAATTACATTTTTATTTTTATTATTATTGTCTATATAACATATTCTGTGTAAATTATATGTACAGTCCAAAATTAAAGTAGGTAAACGTTAACATATTATATGCATTATAACCTACCTATGATAGGTATAAAGTATACACTATACAATATAGTAATATGAACTATGTACAATTATATCATAAATCATAATATAAATTTTATTTATATTCAATAAATTTTGTATTTATTCTTCAAATCTCACTCAATGTATAATTATTAATTATAGTATACAATTAATATATATACTTACATATCATAATACGTAAATACTATATATAGGTAGGTATATAATATATATATTACTAAAATACTACATAATATGATATAAATACATTTTTTTATAGAGGAAAACATACGCATAACATTATATCCATCCAAAATATCTCAGACCCCACTATATTCATGCATATAAACCTGGGTACGCCATACGCATTTCTGCAGCATTTGTAATCGAATATAGCTTATAGTACCTCAGTACCTGTATGGCTGTACACAAGCATTTGGCATAGATAGATATAATAATAAATATACAACTGAGAAGTTATACCCTCCAATAGCGTAGATCAATTTGCCCAGCGATACGATACCCGCACGACTTCGACATTTGGACATGGGCGCAATCGGTAGCCAACGGTCGTGTCTAGGGTTGTAACACTCACCAGCGCTGTGTATAGTGAACAAACTACCACCGCCTATTCAACAATAAAATATAATATTATTCCATTATGGAATAACGCATTGAACAAAAATAATCAGGTATATAAAATATTATAAACATTTCTTCGTCGAATGCTCACCAATGGCGAATATGTATGGCATCAGGCCGTCTGGGCTCCGTTGTTCGGTCTGCTTGCTAGCAAAATCGGATCTCTGGTCCGGCAACAGATGGTACTTCATGGCACCCAACAACAGGTCCTTGCAACTAGGCTCGCTGCGCACCAGTGGTTCCGTTTCGACTACGTTCAACAGGAACATCTTTGACATTTGGGCTAGTCGCACGTGGCCCAAAAGCTGCAATACGAGGGACCTTATATAGGCGTTATTTATTTTTATCACCAATATATAGGCATAACAAACTACTAAATGTCTAAGGACCAATTATAATAAATAATAATCATTTGTCTCTTTTTGGCTGCAGAACACCGATGTGTCATCATATTGAGTAGGTAGTCGTAGTGCATAATATACGATTAGTTTAATACAATATAAATTATAAATTATAGAGCGTTATTCACCTGCAAGCATATACTGATACTAATAACCCTCCATTTTACTCAAACAAAGTAGTTCCCGAGTAAATATAGGATGTATTTACCAAGGAATTTCAATTTGTAATTAATAATCCTTAAAAATGGTTTTACAAAATTATATAAATTGATGAAATATTTAATCTAATAGGTAGGTAGGTAGGTACTTATATACTTTACTCAAACAATTTTTACATAAAATATAAAATGTTGATCGATTAATATTAATAACTATAATTTTCAAATCATTATTGAGCCCATATTTTTCATACCTATTCCCGCGTGGACCTATATTATCCTTGGTATAAAAAATCAAATAATTCAAAAACTATTTGTTCAAATTTATAATTGGATACATAAAAAATGTCCAATAAAATCATCTAATTAACAATTTAACGGAAAAAGGAAGATTCTCATTTGAAAAAAATAATTTGATATCCCTACAAGACACTCTTTGAATAGTACCTATACCAAATCTGAATATTTGAAAATAGTATCATAAACTATACGAACAAATTGAAAAAAATTCGAAAAAATGGGGGTGAGCATGAATCGCTGTATATGTTAAAACTGTTGTGTTTCTATTGAAGTCGTTTGAGTTTGTTGTAGTACCTGAGCGATGTACTGCGATCGTTCGGAGGGATTGTGTTTGATCCAATCCATGACAGCCACGAAAACCTGCTCTTCGGAAACAACGTTCAATTTGTCGTTGGATACTAAATCTTCGACCTGAAAATTACACAAGTGGTAGGATACGTCTTATAACTCAGTTTTTTTTGTTCGGCTTCCATGCGTCTAAATCCTTAACATTTTATTTAACCGGGTGACACTATATGATTATATTATTAATCCGAGCGATCGAGTTTTGCAAATACTTATTGCCATACTCCTGAAGTTAACCTTTTACTCTGATTTAATTTATTTCACCACAGTCGTTCTCCTCATGCGTTGTTTTTAATCAATTTTCCAATCACGTGTTACACTTTTATATATAGGTACCTATCACATATAGACATAGGTATAAGTTATTACAATAAACACTATACCTATAGTATATACTGAATTTTATAAACTATTATACGCGTCCCCGGAGGCGCCTGGCTGCTTCTGTCTACTAATTTAATATAAGTTCGTGTACCTATAGTATTTTATTCAATCTCCTTCGTGGTGGAACTTTATCCTATATTTTATCCTACCATTGATTTTCTACTATATGTACATAATATTGTTTCGCTCTATGTGTATTACATTAATAAGATCTCTGCCTCGGGGAAAACAGCAACATACCGATACGTCGTATATAATAAACAGACGTGGAGAGAGTCTTGACGAATAAACGTCATCATTTAGTTTCAAGTGACGTCAGTGTCAGACGAATGATGTCATACAAAAAAATATTATTTATACTACTTAAAATGTATATCTGTGCCGTAAGGAAATCCAATTAACATTTAACTTTTTTGCATATAGACTGTAGCCATTGTAGCCGTAATAAATTAATATAATATTATATGAACTAACATTTTAAAAATTAAACTAATGCTTAATTCTCTAATGATGATATTATTCTAATGACAAATACTAGGCATGTATATCAAATATATATTTTATAATTAGCGTATACTCGTATCTTGGTTAGGTATAGGTATATTATAATATTAATGATTTTCTTGATTAAAAAATAATTTCACGCGGAGTGGGTTCGATATAAATAATAGTTATAATAATAATATAATATTCTGTGGAAGGGTAGTCACCAGTTAACGTTCGCACGGGGTGAAAATTCTCATTAGTCTATACCACGCGCTGTCAAGGACCTGCCGCCGACGGTCTGTGACGCCATAAACCCCCCTTCACCCATGTCTGTGAGGTTTCACTACACGTTTGTACCCCAGTCCGTCTGGTGTGACAGACCGCCAGCCCACTCTGCAAAGGACGGCCGAACGTCGACGACCTTTGGCGGCCCGCCGCAGCAGTCCTAGCAGGTTTTATTAATATCTCCGATGCGTAAACAAGAGGCGCTACTTCTGTACAGCAGGTCAATTACCTCAGAAAACGATAGGAAAAGAAATTCTTCAGTTTTCACCACTTCTTCGAAATTCTGCAACGCATAGCGGTGTGACCGGGTCCTCAGCTCGTTGCACGAGTGCGTCTCTAAATCAAGCAAAAAACGTATAAGTTATAAATTAATTATTATTCCTATTATGACATTATATTGTTTATTTGTATGTGAGTTTTATATATATTTATTCAAATCTACCCTATTATAGACCCCCACTTGCTAACATTATATAATATTATATCATTAACTAACAGTGCACAGTGGAGATAGTGGCGCAACCAGAAAAACATTTCAGAGGAGGGAGGTTATATTGACACAATATACATATATAGTAAAACTCGCTTAAGACGCTCCCGCTTAAAACGCTTTCCCGCATAAGACGCTATTTTCCATCGGTCCCTATATCATCTATATCCCTATTTCATTCCCGCATAAGACGCTTTCCCGCTTAAAACGCTCTAGAGAGCTTGTCCCTTAAAGAGCGTCTTAAGTGAGTTTTACTGTATTATATGTATAAGATAACACGCTTCGTCTCTTCAACGCTTGCTATATATTAATAGTCTATTATATTGCTTACACAGTTATACTTTATGAAAAAACGTAAGATATAAAATGTGTAACAATGAATTAATAATATTCCTTTTTAAAATTGATGTTGTCATAAGAAATAAAAAAAAATAAATGTCATAATATTATAAAAAAAAAACAATTATAAGGACTTATGTTGAGTCTTCGGTTTGAAGTTTTCGACTTTTCTTCAATTATTATCACTGGATTAATATTAACATCCCGGTGTACCTATATTGAGGATCGCCAAACCGTTTAGTCGTCTTACTTGGGCAATATTTTGAAAGATGGAGGTAAGTTTAAACTTTAAAGTCGATGCAAAGTGGAAAAATATCTTTTTCCAATAGCTCTTGTGACTAATATGAACTTGATACTCAAGGGCTGTCTATGGGAGAACAATAGTTTCGTGGAAGCCGGTAGGTTTTATCACGTGACGGACAAATTTTACTGATTGTTGTGAAAGCTGAAAATATGGGTATGAACCACGTGGTTATAAATACGGGGTACCTACCTATTTTGATTTTCGATTTATTATTTACAAGCAGTGATAAATTATCACTAATTTAACCATTTCAACATTTTTCATTAGTCATACATATTAATTAAATACTAAGCAGCTCTTGGCGAGAAAAATAAAAGGGTTCGGAGAGGGGGTTTATGTACTCCAAACCATCCCCCTGATTGCACCACTGACAGTAACTGTATACATCGAAAAAGTCTACATTTTAATTTAAAACTTATACAGATATATAGTAGGGTATAAAAGTACTATAGACTAAGGCCGCTCTATAAAGTTAATTTACTTTTCGATCCGTTACTGGTTAATCTACTAGGCTTCCAGATGGCTTAGAGCCAATAAACGTCTCTAGAAAATGGAAGTTCACTACGACATCTTATACGATGGGAGAAGACTTGGTGATAATTTATTATTGAAGAAGTCATTATTTGAATCTTGTTAATAATTTTCCTGCGATTAAGTCGCAAGGAATTAATGAGTTGTCTTCTTCAATCGCGAGACGAGTGCTCAACGCTCAGTTGATAGATCATGACGTTCGAAATTTTACATAATATGTTAATGTTATATTAACCACGTGTATACCCATAAATAATATACGTTTTATACACTTGTACAACGAATGAACGAACTGTCCAATACACCTTCGTATAAGCGGTATTGATTATTGTAGTGAATAAATAAATATTTATTACGTGACATGTCGGCCTTAGATTATACCAGCTATTTAGTCATATAAATGTATATGTATAGGTATACTCGTGTTTAAACTTTAAACATAGGTAGGTGAAACTACGGCCATGGTCTGACCTAATATTGACTCGATAACATAAACGTATCAACTTAATAAAATTTAAAATGAAAAATGTATCAATTTTTTTATTTACAATTACATTTTATTAAATAATACAATAAGTAAATTGTATAAATATTAGAGTTTTTGATGTAGGGTTCACATGACGAGAGAAAATATCCATTGATATTACTACAGTTATATACAATAAGTAAAAATGACATATTGACATTAACTAGGTAGTGACCGGAGTTCAAGTTTATAGACCATTAAAGTTTTTAAATTTTTTGTTTATTTATTTACTTTTTTTTTGGGGATGAGATAAGAAGTCTCTGGACCATTTCGTTTTCATTCTACGTTTTGTATCAGGTACCTACCTCGATAGAGAATGATGAAATGAGAGAGTTTGAATGATGTTGTAGTATTTTATGAAATCGTATAATGCACAGTTCGATAATTTTTTTTGATAATTATCATTTAGCCTGTCCTAATAATAATATTTTCTAGTTTCACTTATGACTTTAAAGATTATTTAATTCGTATTTGTTTATACATTTTAATTATATCAATATCACAGTGTACGTGGTACTTAATTATCTACATTTTAATCGGTGTGTGAGTACACTTACCGGCAAACTGCCTGATCCCCAAACAATTAGTCGGGTGTAACTGTTTCATCAGGAACGTGCAGCACGCGTCTCGGACAGAGTTTATCTGGAGCAATGACGAAGCGGGTAACAGTACCTGTGGAAAAAAACGACACCGCGGTATAATATAACATTACCGTATATACCAATAAAAATCCCGTGTAGTGGAAAATTTGTCGATAATATAACACGCGGCGTCAGTGGTGGTGTCCTTGAACGTAAAGTCACACCACCACTATATGCTGTGACATCACTATACTAGCTATATATAATATATTTAAAATATAAATGTATACATAGTATGACGTTTAACGTCAGTCCTTAATCACGTAACGTCTGACCTAGTTATGACCGTGGGCGAGGGAGACGGATTGTGTGTTAAGGGCAAACAAAAGTTCATAATCAAATGCCACGACGATAGACTATAAGCTACATGGTGTGTAATAGACCGAATAAGGTCAACATACTAATTTCGACTAATTTGGTATCCCGACGGGATTTTTTACGATCCATTCCACGAAAGTAACACTCTAAATGGACAACTATTTACATCGATCAGATTGATTCGAAAACAAAATGCAATTAAAATCTCAAACTTTAAATAGACGTAAACTGCAAAATAAGATAAGTCATAATATTAAAGAGTTTTGGTTTTCATATATATCTATATATAAATATAATTTATAAATAGGCTGATGTGAACCATTAAAAAAAATAAGGTACGAGAAACGAGACAGAAATATTGGATTGTTCTGGGAGAAAAAGAAAACTTGCGTCGTCCTTTCTCGAGATTGATGATGATAGCATTTTAGTTGGCATGTGCGGGTATTTATTTATTAACTTTCGGTTTTCTTTCTACTCTCGTTTTCTTTGTATTCCCGAGGGGTTGTTTCAAGTATATAGTATTTTGTATACGCCTTTTCCAATGCCATTTAATCTTATTTTTGAGATGAAAATCTATCTTCCTATGTAAGTACGAATACATATAGGATCATACCTGACTTATGTGTGTCGTTTCTAGTTAAAGGTTTGTTAGTGATATTTTTGATGTTGCAGGAAAACCAGAAGGCTGCACATCCTCTTAATTTAATTAATATGACAGATTTCATATATTATTATGTTGTACTGATAAGCCTTCAGGGAGGGCTGGATTATTATTATTGTGATCAATTTATAAGTGTCTGCACTAATTATTTTGAAAAGTTCGAACTTAAAAATAATTTGTTTACGTAATTTGATATCACTGAAAAACAAAATGTTTGAAAAAACAATATTTTGTGAGTTGTTAACATTTTGAATGATAACGTCATACATTTTTATTTTGTATTCAGTTAATTTATATATTTTTTCAGTTATTTAGATTCTTAGTAATTATTTATAGGTAACTATGTAAGTCTTTAAAGTTTTGACGAGAGGAGTAATCCCGCAAAATGCAGGTGGTCCGCTACTTCGCTTATCTAAAATTTAAATACAACCTCGCTTATAAGTTATAGCTAAATAATTATTTGTTTGAAATTTGATTTTTTTATGTATCAAAGTACTCCTAAAAATATTCTGCTTATTTCTATTAAAAATTTAATGAAATTAAAAATTATAACGATAAAAAAATGTAAAAATATTGTTTTATTTCTAAAATGTTCTTTTGCAATAACATCATATATTTTTTGAAATAATGAATGTAGGTTAGGTAGGTTACTCTACATTGCAGCAACGACACTTAACCAAAATATCATTGTTCCTATTTTTAATAGATTATATTATAACACGATACACAAAAACACAATTCACCCACGTGGCTTGTGTGCATACATGTATATTATGGTACATACGGATTTCTAGTAATATAATTGTAATATTTAGTTTATGTAAAAGACGAGAAAATTATTAATTTTCTCTGGCCAATCCTAATAATACATGAGGAAAGTAATAAATTATAACAATTCGTATCAATAATATCGGTTAATATATTATGGTAATATTATACTATAATAAATAATAGTTAAATACCTAATTACAAGTTTAAATATTATTTTATTACTTACAGCGAAGTACCTATATGAAAATCATTCACACATTTATGAAGTATTTAGCACCAAGAACAAATTACAAAGTCCATTCCAAAATACAAAATTTAGGTAGATTTACAAAACATAATTTCTAAAACTATTCCGTATAATTAAATTTCGCTTTTTTCTTTCACTTTTCATTATTGGAAGTACTTAAACAATAAAATTAATTCTTGAAATTATGTTAACTATTTAGGTACGGACTATCTATAATATATCTTTATTACGTATTTCTGGGAAAATAATTTCCATAATATAATGTATAAACTACAGTTTTCAACTAATTGTTAATCTTAAAATGGAATATTAAAATATGCATTTATTTGGTTTAACATTAAAAACAAATACAAATCTATGTGTATTTTGTATAAATATATTATTTTGAAATTATATATAATCAATACGGTTAGGTATGCGTTTATTTTACAGTTTTACTTTTGGATATAAGTGTACAACCTAAATATTATAACTTATGGGGTTAAAGTGGGGGATGCAGGGGGACTCAGTTCCCCTACCTCTGACAGGGTTAAAAAGCGTTCCCTTTAACAAATTATGATTAACAATATTCAGGGTGAAAAGTGAAATGAGTATGCTTACACAATTACAATCACATTACACATAAAATATTATATATGGAACGATTACAACTATATGGATACAGTAGTCCCTCCTGCAATTTTTCTCCACTTTAACCCTGAACTTATTAGTTAAATGTATGAAACATATTAATTGGATAATGGACATATTAATTAATTTATTTATAACAATGCATTACATATATTAATAAACACAAAAAGTCAAGATAACTTTCAAAATGTACTCTATTTTGATTTTGAACTCGGACGGTAGGTAGTACACTATTACGGCAAGAAAATCGTATTTATGAACAAATTGGTTATTGCAAATAATCGTTTTTACTCATAAGCCATTAGGTATGTATACCAACCTGAACATTTTCGTCTGTTATGTGTACTTGGCCTGTGTATGTATATTCGATCAGAAGTTGTAGAGCACCCAAGTCTACGTCATGTAGTTCGACTTCGGATTGTAATTTTTCAGCCATGTCGTCTATTAAAAAGAAAAAATGTTTCAATGGAAAAAAGAAAAACTTATCACACTCACCGTTGAACATTGCGTAAAAATAAGGACTGGAGGAGGCCAACACCAATCGGTGAGCTTTTGTCACGCTGTTACCGACTCGAAGGGAAACGTCACAGAGCTGTGAATTATATTGAAAAAAATTACTGCATCTGATGATAAAATATAATTCGAAACGGTTTTCGTATATTTTTGTACTAATTTGTCGTACTTGGATGTTGACTCGCATCTTGTTGATAACGGAAAACGACGACATAGGATGGTCGGGATCGTGGTGCAGGTAACAGGACATCGGTTCCGGTGATTCACAAGTCAGAGGTTCTTCATTGACGGTATCTTCGTGTTCTGAAAAACGATTATTACGTAGATTAAAAAATATTTTAATACGGTAAAAAGGGTAAAGATACATGGGCTATTATAAATTATAATAATATTATACTTTATAATCAATGCAATTGTAAATTTAACTTATTTAATTATAACTCTATCACGTATAATTTAATATAATATACATACGTAAGATTTTATAATATTTAACCACACATTATAAGCGTTTCTCAAATAAATAATATCCTATAATATCGTTTTCATATATAGTTATAACATACCAGGCACCACCACTATCACAGGCGCCTCCGAAAGGATTCTGTCAATAATTTGAGGTTTTGGCTTAATGTATATTATGTGTATATTATAATGAAAACATTTTTAGGTTATAATCTATTTTATATAATGTTATACGCGTATTCCTGGCGTTTATTCGATGGGCGTAACGGATTTTTTTTTTTGTATAGATTCTGAGCGTAGCGATTGTATATTTTTTTAAAACGGTTTTTGTCTATAACCACTTTCGTGGGCTTACTAAAGATATAAAAATGATATTCCACTCAATATAAATTAGTAGATGCATTGATTAAAAAATAGCCTAAGTAACTTACATATATGAATCCAGTGATGTGTTGTCAAAATCTAAATTATAATCTTAACCAACTAATCAAGAACTTAACTAGATGTATCTATTTATTTTTGGGCTCGTCTAATATATAATATTAATAATAATAATAACAATTTAATATTATGATCATATAATTTCACAATACTCTCATTTGTATAATTATAACTTATAATAGTATAATACACGTTGTGAATTGTAGTCTCGTTAAAAGTTCAATCGGAAATGTATCCATAACAGAAGTTAAATCTACGTTAAAGCTTAAAATTTGCATAATTTAAAACTATGTTCGAAGAAAATGTCTGATAAGGGATAACTATAGTCTATAGATGAGTCTGTAACGACCTTAAGTCTTTACAATAACTGACAATGATAAATATTCATGGCTGATGACGGTACCTACGCGTGCTTAACTCAGTAATAATATTATTTATACGCCAGATTATTTATTGTTATTTACAAGAAACTATCTATATCATTATATACTATGTTCAGCAACATTTTATCGAACACATAATTTCAGTCGAATGTTACGCCTTGAAATAACAAGAGTAATAGTTGTTATAATAGTGAATAGTAAATACGTCATTATAATTACAATACTAGAATTCATACTACAGTCGAAAAGCTTTTTATTTTATTATTACTGTAAGTATATAATAATATAATATTATATACTATTATTATGTATAGTATATAGTTACTAAAATCCTATAAATATAATTTCATTTTTTGTATCTACCGTGTATATGCTCGCATGTTAAGTCTACGAAATATTTAGTAATTCATGGTTTGGCAATTATTATGTAGTTACCTATATATTTCATGTAGGACTTAATTAAGACTTAACATATTATCATCCACTATAATATGTCTGTAAACTCTATTAAGCAAACGGGCAACAGAAAAAAAAATGAAATTGTAGTATAACGTCTATATACTTTATAGCATAAACCTACTGCGATATATTATTATTATATTGTAAATGATGACTTTTCTAACGATTGGCATGTATACGCACAGCAGTCGCGTGTCTTGGGTCAATTGACGACGACCCGACCGACCGGTTTAATCAGACTTGACGAGCGCCCACAAACGCATGACCACAAGCGCATGACTATTGGAGAGCCCCTGGCCGGCGGCAGTGGTTAGAGCGTACACGTCAAACTCTAAACGACAAGCTGATGGATTATGTGGATAGGTTTGACGGAGTTTCCCGTCAAACTCGACGGAATGATAACTGAACGCAATAGGCAACGAATTTTTTAACAATTTTTTATACAATATTCCCAAGGATTCGTCTTGCCAGTCTATCTATTTATAATAATATAAAAAAAATATAAATACGAACGTAATATTATTGTACACTGTGACTTGTATTGTATTATAAAAAAAGTTCACCGTGGATAGGCTCGTGATATCGTGTTAGTATATCGTGTTAGTATACCTGCAAACAGGGTTGGTACTGCGGCAGGGGAGTGCACAATAAAGGTTCTTTTGAAAATAATGTTACATATTTACAGGCGCATGTAAACTCTGTCAGTGACAAGAATCAGGTAAAATTGAGTTCATGTAAACTCCCCCAGTGAAAAAAATCAAACAGTATACACTATACAATTAATATAGGTAATATACAGATTATTATTAAACAAAAAAACATAATTTTTCTGGTAATAATTATCCTTATTAAATAAGTATATTATGCCAAAAAATATAAAAATAAAAAATAAAAATTATAACTGTTCGAATAAATCGTACAAATTGCAATGGTCAGTATTATGTTAAAAAATAATGATAGACAATTGTAATAACTAATTATCAGAAAATATGTAGGTACCTATATTATATTATTATGACATTTTATGTTATAATACTTACAATATTTTGAACTGGGAACTAAAATTATGAGATACAATTTGTAGATATTCAAACCATTAAGTCTAATATAAATCCATTATTATAACTATGTAGTATTTATAGCTTTCTCTAACACAATATTACAATAATTATTTTTTCATTTTGAATTTTTGAGTTTACTTAGTGGAGAAGTATCATTTAGTTTTACATAAGGAAGGCCTTAAAACTGGTGGAGTTTACATTAGACCTTTTCATTTACTTTTTATCTAACCGGTATTCTGACGGAGTTTACAATCGTCCATATTTACATTTATGCAAATACCTACTTCGGAGTTATACAAGGTGATTTATGCATGATCTCCCTATTTGTATGCTTAAATTATATAAGTAATTCAAATTCTCATTTTTTAAATTTTTAAATGAATACCATATTTTCCAATACATGAGATTCCTTGTACCATAGTCAATATCACTTAAGGATGGTCCTGTGAAAATACACAAGTCAAATAGGCACTGTGTAGCAATTTTTCACTTTTAATTTATTATTCAGTAGATATTTTTTTGAGGATTATGATATATCTAAATCAAAATCCGAACTAATAGTTTTTGAGTTATATATAACTTTGTGTACAAAGGATAATATATTAATGGTCATGGGTTAAGTAGATTTGGGTGCTTAGATAATTAGAAAATATTAGTAATTACTATTGAATAAATAACCAGAATTCGAATGCATGTATTATGAAAGGATAAAATAGGGGTCAACATCATAGGCGCAATTTCAACTTTTGGCTTGGGGGGGGGGGGCTGAATATATTAAAGGCAAGCAGACCATTACAATATAGCATATTAAAATTGTATGTCCTAGGTTTTTTTTTGGGGGGGAGGGCTACGGCTATGTTTGGGGGGAGAACTTAGCACCCCGACCCCTACACAATTTGCTCCTATGGTCAGTATTTTTAAAAAATCACTCTGTATAGCCCATAAATAAGTTATTGAATTTTTGTGTTCACTGTTTGCTATTAAAGTTTTCTCGAATTGTCATATCTTACTTTTCCTTGTGGAATTTTCACCTATAAATTAAATACCTAATACCTATATATATATTTTTCTTGTATGTTTTAACTATTTAACTAATGTCTATGATATAGATTTATTTTTTGAATGTATTATTTATACATTCCGTGAATTAGTCAAATGACGCATGGACGCAGCACTACGTCATCTGAACTCTTTTACGGAAATGTCATTTAAAAAAGAACGCAGTATGGGTCATCGATTTTATTCATATGAATTGTTTGTTGGTGGACAATGGACATTATTCACCCATTCCTTAATTATACAAGTTTTTCCTAATAGCACATATATTATTGTTACCTAATACCTATTATTATTAGTAAATACTAACGATCTGAACAATTTCATCTTTTCGATGTACCTACACCACCCATATTTCCTACACCTATGGTAATGGTATATGGTCTATGGTATAGTATACATACTAAGACGGTAACGGTAAACAATTTTATCGATTGATTTCACAGGGCCAATATCAATTGCGAGGAAATGATCTTTTTACCTGTAAGAAAACTATCGATTGCGCAGCGTATCAACTTCGCCAAACTTTTTTACATGTTGATTCTGCTGAATATTTGTAAATTATTTATTTTATTAATAATAAAACTAAATGTAAAGACTTACATTTACGTTAATGTTATTTTTTGGTTATACGTTATAAGTTATAACATATATCTATTGTCTATATGTAATAAATATTTTGTTTCATTTGTATAAAAGGTACACACTATACACAAATTTTCTGTTCATTCGTAACAAAATAAAGTTGTTGAAGTTGATAAATAAAAAAAAAGGTAGGTATCCATATATTTGAGTTGTATTATTTTGTTTTTTTTATTTTACCGTATTATACAAATTGTATTGTATTATGAATGACCAATTAATTAAATTTTGTAACACATTTGAAATTGTATATTTTATTATTTTAAAATTGTTGGATAAATATCTGACATTAATAATACATTAAATTATATAATTCAACCAATTATTACTATAAGTACAAAAAAAAATTTGTAAAAATAACAATCACTAGGTATTTATTTCGGTTATATTATTTTGTTATTTTTAAGAATTTTGCAATTTATTTCATTGTTTTTTATATTATTTTATCCTATTTGCGTATTGTACATTTTCTATTTTAATAAAAAAAAAGGGTTGATTAATACAACCAATTGATGTAAAACACATTTTTTTTTTTTGTATAAATATTTATAATAGTAGCTACTCGGATTATTATTTATAACGATTACTGGTCTTTTGAAAATGAAAAGATATGGTTGTTATTATTGCTTATTTTAATTATTATATTGATTACCTACCTAATTATTATTTATTAATAAAATCGAACAACTTCTCTACCTATATATTTTATTATAATAAACCAGCTATTACCTATTGCAGCGGCATATATACGACGGTAATAGGAAATTGGTAATAAATAATAATAATAGGTAAATAG